AGTAAGTGCCACGTGCAACGTAAACTGTCACGTGACCATGAAGCGCTGAAACCGTAACACAAGCTCCCCCTTCCAACCGGCAAGACCCTTGACGACCACTCACCAAACTAACCCATCATCGCCCTTCGCGGACACCGATATAGCCATAGACTGGGCTGGTGGCATGAGGTACGACCTCCCATTCCGCGTTGAGATCCTCTTGGGGTTGAGGATGGAACTCGGTGGGTGCCCAGTGCGAGATGGATCCGTCTTCGTACAGGACCGCCTTCAGTGCCTCCACCCCGTCGGTAAGCCATCCAGGCTTCTCGATCATGGCGACGAGGGGTTGGAAGATGACCGGCGCGAACTCACGAGGTGTCTTGGCGTCTCCGTAGTGAACTTGATCGAAGAACGTCCTGAAAAGTTCGACCTCGTACTGTTCAACGCCTTCTTCCTTGCCCGCGAAGCGAACGCTGAGGATGCGCGTCCGGTTGGGTGTTGGATGCCAGTCGTGCATACCTGGGATGGGTGGCGGATAGAGCAGAGCGACCCACTGGCTGAAGACACGATGCGGTGAGTCTTCCGAGTAGAGGTGCCAGGCGACCTTCTGGTTGTCCCAAGTGAAGACGAAGGCGTGAAAGGTGGCGAAGTCGCCCGTACCCGTGCGATGAACGTAGAGACGATGGCCATCGCGTTCCATGAGGAATGTTAGTGGTGTCGCGATGAAGACATCGTAGGGTGATGCTACGTCCGGGGCGATAAGCGATACCTGTCCTGCCGCTGGGTTGCTCGAAGACTTGACCGTTCGAGCGTACCTGATCTGCTCATTGATGATGTCAGCTGGTGCAGGCTGCGATCCGTCCTCGGGTGTGGTGTTGTAGGGATAGGTGGCGCCAGGACGGTGGGGGGAGCCGGGTTGTTCATCGTCGGCACTCCTTGCCTGTTCATCGTCTCCACCCCAAGGTCTCCCCGTCGTCCAAGATCCTCCCGTCGTCCATCGACCTGTCTCGTCTTCATCGTCCCCCCAACGTGCACTCCTCCATGATTCGGCCAGTGCTTCGTCGCTAAGGTTGTTCAGGAGCGGAATGTCGTCTCCGTCACTGTCGATGAGTAGCCCTGGCTCTGATGCACTGCGAGTGACGGTGGTGGTGACACGGATGTTGAGCGACATAGGTGGAGGTGGTATAGCGGGGCGATTCTCTTTATCCCAAGGGTAGATTTCCTCGTAGAGTTCCCACTCGAGTAGGAGGAGGCGATGGTCCAGTAAGGGAAAAGGGGGGCCGCTACTTATACCTTCGAGCAGCCGTTCTTCTTCTTCGTACCAGTCCATGATGTGGATGTTCGCCATTCCCGTACGTTCCTCCACTGGTATTGTCATTGTTCTTGATACGGTACCGTGTACGACACTGAATGCATCCAGAGCGAATGAGAGTGCTGCCGGTAAGATATCAAAGTGTAGTGGATGATCTAGAGCGTACGATGGTGGGAGGATTCCCACTGGAAGGCCGGCGTAGACGGCTGTTAGGATAGTCCGGCGTCGATCTGGCTCTAGCCGGGGCAGGTCGAGTTCCTCCGTTAGGTACATTGGGTAGTTCATTCTCATGAACGTTCCCCATGTTCCGTCTAGGTCGATATCGACGTCGTCCTCTAGCGTTACCTTCGGCTGATCCGTTTGGAAGGGAAACGGGTAGGGAATTCTGATTAGCCCGCTGGGGCGCGGGGTTAGATATGGCTGTCGTCGAGTTGACCTGAAGCCGTCCAGGAGGTGGACTTGGTGAACGTCGTCCGCTCTCTCGATGAGATCGTTCATCATGACTTGGATGGGTCGTGTTGAATTCGACGTTGGTATGGTCGAAGTCGGCAAGATCCTCGATGGCGAATCCGGCCCCTCTGATAGCGAGATAGACTCCGAGCTGTTGGAAGACCTGGTAACGATGATCGTGGGAGGAGTGGGATTCGACATCTTCGAGAACTTCGATAAGATGCGTGAAAGTGGTGATAGCAGATTCGAGAAACTCGGGATGTTGAACGGGCATTGGGGCATGAGCTGAGGATTCAGACCAAGTTATGCTCCTTTTTATACTCGTTCAGCAGCTCTCCTGCATTGCCCATTTCTGTCTCTTTTACCCACGACCTTTCGCTGAGTGGATATCCAGCCCATTTTACCAGATATTCGTTCTTGCTGCGCCGTAGTCGGTGTCCAATTATAGACTCGATTTCAAATTCTTCCTCTCCTTCGATAAGATCCGGAGGCGGTGTGGAATAACTTTCCCCATGTGTATTGGTCTGCCGATATGGCATGAGCAATGCCGCATGGAACACCGGATGGATCTTCCATGTCGCAGGAAGGTCTAACTTGAACGAGAGAGGTCCCAGAACCTCCTTGATTCTAAAGGGTCCTTCTCGCTTCGGCGCTAGCTTGTTCGATTTGTAAGGTCTTTTCAAATTGGTGGCTTCCAGCCAGACCTTATCTCCTTTCTTGAACGTCGGAGATCCTCCTTTGATCCTAGCAGATACACGGGCTTTTGCCTTGACAATTCCTTCTGTGGCCTCCTTGCGGACCATACTGAGAAGCTTGAGTCTTGCGTCCACGTCCGGGATCTCGTCCTGAGGAAACAGTTCTGGCATTCCTCGGGGCTCGTAGCCATACCATATTTCGAATGGTGACTTCTTTGTCACTGAATGAGTGTGAAGATTGTGCGCGAACTCTGCTTCGAATAGGAATTGATTCCATCGATGCGGTTGCTCCGCACAGTACATTCGAAGATATGTTTCCAATTCTTGATTCATTCGCTCCGTTTCACCATCCGTCTGTGGATGATAGGCTGTGCTCATAGCCGACTTGATCTTGAGCGCAGTACACAATGCTTGGAAGACTTTAGATGCGAATTGCGTTCCACGGTCAGAGATGATCTTGTCGGGTAACCCGAAGCGTTTCCAAACTTGTCGTCTGAATAGCTCGGCGGTTTCCGAGGCGGTGATCGTCTTCTTGCAGGGACATAGAATTACCCCCTTACTAAGCCCATGGTCTACCACGACCATTATTGAATCGAAGCCTTCGCTTGTCGGTAAATCTGTAATAAAATCCACGCTAACTTGCTTGAAAGGTAGCGCATTGGGCGAAGGGCCGATGGGCTGTAGTGGAACTTTGACCTTATTTCGGACAGCTTTGGATTGCTGACAGGTGGCACATCCATTGACATAGCTTTGGATGAAGCGATACATTCCTGGCCACCAGAAATCTTTGCGCACTAGCTGATGCGTAACCCAGATTCCTGGATGACCATGGGGAGTGGCCTCATGGTATCGCCGTACAATTTCCTTCTTCAAGGCTGTATTGTTTGGAACATATACACGTCCATGGATGGTGATTAAGCCATTGTCAGCGTCCTTGATGTCGTCCTTTGTCATTCCTCGTGGAACTGGAAGTTCTTCCATTAGGCCGTCTTTGTACGCAAGTACTGACGGGTCTTTCATTAGCGCTTGTCGGATTTGTTCCGCCATATCGGTATCGATAGCGCCAATGAAGAGGTCGTCAGGTAACAGGATTGCAGGTGACTTGTTATCCTGTCGATTGTCTAATTCGGATAATCGTGAAAGCGCGTCCGCTTGCACCATTTGTCGTCCTGGCGTATGGACAATCTTGTAATTGAACATAGACAAGAAGAGTTGCCATCTTCGTTGTCTTGGATTTAAGTCCTGCGGTTGCCTGAAGTACGTCAGATTCTTGTGATCTGTGCGTATGAGGAATGGCTCCTTGGTTCCGTCGAGATAGTGTCTCCATTCCTTAAGTGCGCGGATGATTCCTAGAAGCTCTTTATCGTAGATTTGATAATTTCGTTCCGGATCGGAGAGCGACTTGGAATAATATGCGCAGGCATGGAGGTCACCATTGTCGTCTTTCTGCATGAGGACTGCTCCT